TGCGAGACGCATTTCCACAGAAACTAACGGTAGAAAAAGATTTTTTGGATATCCATTCTATTTTTCAGCTGGCTACGATGTAGCATTCTACTTTGCATTCCCTAAAATGAAGCAAAGAAGCGAAATAAAAAAAAAATATTGTAGGACATTCTACTTTGCATGCCCTGAAATGAAGCAAAGAAGCGAAAAAAAATAAAATGTTTTAGGACATTCTACTTTGCATTCCCTGAAATGAAGCAAAGAAGCGAATTAAGAAAGAAATATTATAGGACATTCTACTTTGCATTCCCCAAAATGAAACAAAGAAGCGAAATAAATAAAATATTGTATGACATTCTACTTTGCATTACCTACAATGCCTAAAAGAAGTGAAAAAATTCGAAGGCATTACAACGCTATGCCTTCTAGAACACGTTACCACTAAAAGCGATTACCGATTTTTCGCTGGGGTTGGTTGTCTCAAATGATCAGAAAATTTTTACGATCATCTAACACGCAACTGTTCAGTTGATCAGAAGTACAAAACAACGCGTTCAGAAGGTGCAATCGCAACAGTTACTGAGCTGGTGCGCCTTCTGAACGTGCCCAATGTAAAGTTTGAAAATTGGATTTTTTTTTTTATAGATCCGTATACATGCTCAAAAAAAAACAAAAATGTTTAAAAGAAATATCTAATTTTTTTAGGTTTGAAATTTTTACACAAAATTTATGAAAATAAATAAACTTAAAAAAATTTAAGTTCGAGTTAAATTTCCGTTAAAATTTTTTCAAAAATTATAAATTTTGAATGAAGTTTGAAAATCGGATTTACATGATTTTTGTTATATAATGTGCTATAATTTTATAAAAAATTATTGAATATTAAATAAACAAAAAGGAAACGTCAATCAAATCAAAAAGGAAAACGTCAATACTAAGCATCAAAAGAGGGCGCTATTCAAGTGGCCGGCACTGAATTTGTATAATTTTTGATATAGTTGTTATTGTTATTATTTTCGTTTATGTAATTGTAAACTTTGGAATTCTAACCTCTAGGGCGTTTCCTGCACGCTGCGGCACAGTTTTGGACGCGATGATCCGCGCTTTGCGATACCAGCTGGTCTGCTCGCCAGCACAGCTTTCACAAAATATCCCGACGTGACAGTGGCGCTGTATGTTATGTGGAAAGCACTACAGGTAAGTTAATTATATATTGAAACATATGTATGTACGTATGTAGGTTTCTGGATAAACAAATAGTTTACTGAAAAAAATCCATAAGCCTTTCTACTTTCCATATAACTTTGCTTTATATTTTGACTGACCCAACAAGAATAAGATATCAGCTGAATCAAATGTTTTAAATTTTTGCTATTTATTTTCGTTTTATCTGTTTACTGGAATAATAGGTAGATAGACAGATATTAATATGAGGTGTGCACTGCACTGCGGTATAGTGTGCGCTTGTCTCTTCAAAACAATCATGTTATGCTCAAGGCCAAGGTGTAATTGTGTATCTTGGGCCGAGTCACAGAAGTGGCAGAGAACACTGGACCAGATGAATAATTTGTGTGTCCTGCCACAAAGCTTCTGACGATTTTTAAATGTTCCTTTGGCAGATTTTTTACAAGCTTAAATCTTTTTAAGTTGTATCCCGCACGTAAGCACTTTGGCTGGCGTAAAACCCTTTTGACAATCGCCAGTGCTTTTCTCTCATTGTTCTATTTACTCCTCTGAGCTCTTCTGTGATTGTATTTGAATCTGTTATCATGTAGAGCTCGCACACATTTGTGATTGTGGCCCATTGTTGTAGTTCCTACTCAGATTTATCTCCGCACACTCACTGATGGCGTAGGCTTCTGTCCCATTGGCACAGATATCCCAGCCCGGGGGCCATTACTCCTGTGATGCAATCACATGCCAGACGTTGAAGCTTTTTGAGCGACTGTTCTTCCAGTAAAGCCGGGTAGGTGGTATTCTCTATTTGCTATTTACTCGATGCAGAGATACCTAGAATTGACTTCATCATAAGCATAAGCGGAGAATTGCATTTTATCCTTCCTGCCAAGGCGTAAGTATTAGAGAGGGTACCTTTCGAGGTGCATCGAATGCCATTTCGGCTGCTCCAACTAAGCAAATCCTAGATAATGTTCAAGAGAACAGCTCGGCTTACGGGGATTTGAGTCCAATTAATCAGTACTTGGAGTCTCGCAGTTATACTACCATCCGATTATTATTCGATTATTTGTTTAATTTTTCTAAAACATAATTTTGTTTAAAATCGATTTTTATTAATTTCGTTTTACTTTTATCTCGCTTTTTTATTACATTATTTATTTTTATTGTTTTTTTATTCATTTTTACCTTTATGCATCTACGTGGTACTCCTTTGAAACGCATTAAATTCCTTTTATTTACTTTTCTTATAGATCTGCTACAATTTGGGCATCAAAGAAGGGGTTTTACCCCACGTATCGAATTTTACGATATTCTTATACGCTTTCTGTACGGCTATAGAGTTTCATGCAGGCATTCTTGAGCCAAAAACGGTACGACCGAGCTACATCAAATTTCTCCAAGGGATGTCAGGAGATAGGTGAGTGAAATGTTTATTTTTTTTTAAATACTATATTATTAAAATAAAATAAAAAATATTTCAGTTAAATTAAACCAAAGTCCTTTAATTAGTAACAGTTCATTGATCTGAATATAAATAGTTCACTAGGCTTAAGAAACGTAAACGAACTTTATTTAAAAAATAATTGTAGTTCAAATATTATAGTGATAAGGAAAATAATTTTTTTCAAAAGGGTATGCAGTGAAACCTTGATATAACGAACCTTGATAAAACGAAAAACTCTATATAAAAGACATTTTTGCTGAGTCCCTTGAAAAACACCTCGTTGTTGTGAAATTTTCCCTAAAAAATACTTCATAGATAAACACAGAATATTATTAAGTTATTCACTGTTGGTCATTAGGATAGCGCACCCCTTTGTTGGTTTCAATTGTATAAAATTTGTGCAAAATTTTTAAATTGGATTTACATGGTTCTTGTTGTAGAATATTTTTGTTTGCATTTTTAATACAAATATGTTTAATCTAATTAAATTTTTAAGTACTATTTCCTTCTGTCTTGATAAATTTTTTTCTTTTTCTAATTTAATTTTGTGTTATTTATTAATTTTTATTATTTTAAAACGAAAAATATGTATGTTTTTTATTCAATTTACTTAAAAAAAAAAAAACTGGTTGCTAAAAGGCGAACAAAGTGACGCTAAGACCTCCTCGTAGCAGATCTTTCAATTCGAAGATAATTGCCAGAATTTCCCTGTAAATAAACATTAATGAAACTGTAAATTGTAAGGATCCAAAGAGTGCGCTATTCAAATGACGAGGAGTGTATAATGAAGAAATTTTGAACATGAAAACCTTCGGAATATATGGACTCAAAAGCCTCTGCATAGCGAATTCTGGACGGTTAGAGTACCGTTGTAAAACTATACTTCAAAGCAATTTCTTGTTGCATCGAAACTATATACATAAGTAACGAAGCATTTGTTTGTTTCACATTCGATTATTTCGAAGCAAATAAAATACCTGATCGTATATATGCATGTAGGTATTTCGGAATTCTGAGGTTTTAAGTGCCCCGCTCTGCATAATTGTACCTTTCTGGAACTTTCATATTTAATTTTTTTCTTGCAATATAATTTATTTTTTTTTCGTTTTTTTCAGATTTAATCGATTTAACTTGGAACCCTTCAGCATCTATGGTCAAAATGCCAGCGAACAAATGCGAGAAGTTTCCAGAAAACTAAATATTATCAACCAAGCACCGTTGCCTAAATGTTCACTTGCCTCGTGGAAATAGTTTGATATTTTTATATAAATTTTTTTTTAGTTATAAATTTTGTATAGTTTGAAAATCCGATTTTCATACATGATTTTTGTTATATATTGTGCTATAATTTTATAAAAAATTATTGAATCGAATTGAATTAAATAAACAAAAGAAAAACGTCAATGCTAGAGATCAAAAGAGGGCGCTTATTCAAGTGGCCGGCACTGTATTTGTATAATTTTTGATATTCTTTTTATTATTATTATTTTCGTTTATGTAATTGTAAACTTTTGAAATCTTATCTCTAGGGTGTTTCCTGTACGTTGCGGCACAGTTTTGGTCGCGATGATCCGCGCTTTGCGATACCAGCGGGTCTGCTAGCCAGCACAGCTTTCACAAAATATCCCGACGTGACAGTGGCGCTGTATGTTATGTGGAAAGCACTACAGGTAAGTTAATTACATATTGAAACATATGTATGTACATACGTATGTAGGTTTCTGGATAAACAAAATATTTCACTGAAAAAAATGTCTTTCTACTTTCCATATACCTTTGCTTTATATTTTGACTGACCCAACAAGAATAAGATATCAGCTGAATCAAATGTTTTAAATTTTTGCTATTTATTTTCGTTTTATCTGTTTACTGGAATAATAGGTAGATAGATAGATATTAATATGAGGTGTGCACTGCACTGCGGTATAGTGTGCGCTTGTCTCTTCAAAACAATCATGTTATGCTCAAGGCCAAGGTGTAATTGTGTATCTTGGGCCGAGTCACAGAAGTGGCAGAGAACACTGGACCAGATGAATAATTTGTGTGTCCTGCCACAAAGCTTCTGACGATTTTTAAATGTTCCTTTGGCAGATTTGTTACAAGCTTAAATCTTTTTAAGTTGTATCCCGCACGTAAGCACTTTGGCTGGCGTAAAACCCTTTTGACAATCGCCAGTGCTTTTCTCTCATTGCTCTATTTACTCCTCTGAGCTCTTCTGTGATTGTATTTGAATCTGTTATCATGTAGAGCTCGCACACATTTGTGATTGTGGCCCATTGTTGTAGTTCCTACTCAGATTTATCTCCGCACACTCACTGATGGCGTAGGCTTCTGTCCCATTGGCACAGATATCCCAGCCCGGGGGCCATTACTCCTGTGATGCAATCACATGCCAGACGTTGAAGCTTTTTGAGCGACTGTTCTTCCAGTAAAGCCGGGTAGGTGGTATTCTCTATTTGCTATTTACTCGATGCAGAGTTACCTAGAATTGACTTCATCATAAGCATAAGCGGAGAATTGCATTTTATCCTTCCTGCCAAGGCGTAAGTATTAGAGAGGGTACCCTTCGAGGTGCATCGAATGCCATTTCGGCTGCTCCAACTAAGCAAATCCTAGATAATCATGCCTATTACGGTATCCGACGGATGCCATCCGCACGGATCTAATCCGATTCGCACTGTCATAACAAGCGAATGAGAAGGATTAGATTCACGAGAATGGGATCCCTCGGAAACATACCTATTCCGGTCCGACAGATACCATTCGCACGAATCTAATCCCTCGCACTCGCTTATTCCGACAGTGCGAATCTGATTAGATCCGGGCGGATGGCATCCGTCGGATACCGTAATAGGCATG